GAGTCCTGGAGATGGGAAGTACAGTGCCTGCACTCTGAAGGAGGGGTGCTAATGTTGCAGTTTAAAAACTGTACTGTAAAGCACCCTTCTAGCAAGACAGTGATGGAGTGAATGATGGTGAAAGTTTTTCTTTTTCGGGCCACCCTGCCTTGTTGGGAATCGGCCAGTGTGATAATAATAATAATAATAATAATACGGAATATCATTGCGTAGAAGAAGGGCACTTTCATTCAAAGGTCCCATCTGAGAAAGGATCCGAAGAATACAATAAATTATAGCCTGAGATAGGTTGGAAAACAGCCGAGTGTAATTTTGGTTCTTGTAAGCAAGCACCAACAGGGGAAAACCTGGAAAGCAACATCTGAAGCTCACCCCAATTACCCGAGGCCGCGGATATTCCACTGTAAATACGCCATAATTGGCGATGAAGAAAATACCAGGAATCCGTAGGGAAAGGCACCTACGGACTAGAGGGGTTAGAAAAGTCAACGTGTGGTGGCATTGGAAGACGTTCAAGCAGCGAAGGAACAGAGCGTTGCGAAGAATGGGGTTGTGAAGATGGAGGAGAGGGAAGAGAAGGAACAGGAAGTGAATCAGTGTCCATTGAAGGTTTAGTCTCTGCAATATATTCTGAAATGGCTTCAAGTGTTTCTGAATTCAAAGATGTATGGGAGACCATATTGGAGATAGAAGGGGGAGGGTGAGTAAAGATTGGGACAGTAATGGACTGTACCAAAGTAGAGGGGGAGGAAAGAGTGTAAGGGACTGGAGATGAAGTGTGGGGGGGGGACAGAAGAGGCAGAAACCTGGGAGGTGGCAGAAGAGGGAGAAACTTGGGAGGGGACGGGGGTGGAAGGCATAGTACGAGGAGGAGGGGGAATCTCCACACTTGTAATAGAGCCAGAGAAAGGGGAAGAACTAGGCACAGAGACTGGAAAGGGAAAGTGTGGAGGTGGAAGAAGGGAAGGAAGGGGCAAAGAAGATTTGAGCAATGTGGATTTTTTGGACTTCTGAGAAGTAGAGGGGCGATTGGTATTAGGTGTCGTACGAGGTCTTGTCGATACTGGGGCTTGTGAGGAAGGACACAAAGATGTGAGAACAGACTTGAGTTGTAGTCGGGACGTCAGAGCCAAGGACAGCAAAAGGATTAGATTCCGGAGTGGCTATGGGAGGGGTAACAACAGAGGAGGCTGCAGAAGATGGGACCCCAGAAGTGGGGGGGATGTTTTGAAACACGAGAATAAGAAACACGGGGTAGTCTCCCTTGGAGGCGGAGATGAGTAACTGCCATAGCATAAGGGAGACCTTCTGCCTTTTTGAGGCAACGGATTTCATGTTCATTTAAGTAGACCTGGCAACAGCGGGAGTACGAAGGGTGAGCTTCATTACAATTAAGGCAAGATGGAGGTTGACTGCAAGATGTATTAGAATGGTTGTCGGCACCACAGACTGGGCATTCGGCCATAGATCTGCAATATTTCGCTGGGTGACCAAAACGCCAGCAATTTCTACACTGTTGCAGTGTAGGTATCACCTTTCGAACTTGTAACCGATGTACCGCGACATATACAGAGGACGGGAGTTCTCGGCTGTCAAAAGTTAAACGAGCTACATTGCAAGCGTAACGTCTCCGCCCACGGGCAGGAAGGACATAAGTGTCTACTTTGAGGATTGGGAGATCCTGGAGTTCCAGCTGTTCAAGAATGTCATTGCCACATGACTGGAAATTCTGTTGGACTATGGTATGGGGCAGAACGACAGTACCACTACAAGAATTGAGAGAAAGATGTTTTTCAATAGTGATAGGAGTAGTATCTATATGCGAAAGGAGAGAAAGATCATGAGCTTGGGTAGCATTCTGGACAGTGACGATGCTCGTACCACTCTTGAGAGCATGAAATGAAATATCTCTACCAACATGACGCAGGAGCGCTTTGCCAATACTATGGTCAGAAAGGTAGGCAGAAGAAGAAGTCGGTCTTAAAGTAAAGAATTTAGTCCATTGTGTGGGCCGAAACTGAGCATGGAGAGGGAGTGCATGACGTGTCGGTCTTTTCCGAGTAGAATGGGAAGGTAACGAAGGAGCATCATCAGGAGATTGACGTTGGCGTTTAGGAGTAGGACCGGAGTTGGTCCGGCGTGAAATGGGCGGGCAATTCGAAAATTGCCGTACCCTAGAGGGAGAAGCCGGAAGCATAGTCAAAGGAGAGCGGAGTTCAGACCAATCGAAGGAGTCAGTTGAAGCCCCGGTACCTGAAGCGGGTGAGGAAACAGCACCAGCAAGAGGTACAGGGGCATCAGGAGTGTCCAAAGAGTGGTCTAAAAACAAGGTAGGGTCAGAATGGGGTGCGGTATCAAGAAGGGGCCCGGGGGTAGTGGGTTCATGGATTGGGTTCTCCATGGTTAGGTTACTCCTTTGCTTTTTGTTTTTAAGGAAAAAAAAGAAAGAAGAAAAGAAAATAAAAATAAAAAAAAGATTAAAAAAAGGGGGGAGCGGGGAGGAATAGTTCCCAGGAGGAATGAAAGGGCCGGAAATCTCCCTCCGCGCCCAAGAGGACCTCAGCACCGCTAGTAGCGCAGATGCAGCATGGAACCCGTGCCATACCCTACCCTTCATGCCAGTAAACCAGCAATCCGGGATAGCAACCTCACATCTGCCGAGCTACCTTGGTGGACAAAAGAGAGGGCAGCCGGATATCCGCCACAAAGCATACCTCCTTCGGCCACCACCCCGGAATCCGAAAGGTGGCTTCCAGAGATACACCCGTTGCCCGAAAGACACCCAAAGCAACTCCAGGATACCGGAGAGGGATCGGGACATCCCCAGGCGATCCAGATTCCACGGCAAACTACGCCACCGCCAAGAACGTCAACGGAATGGGATGGACCCCGGTATCCTTTCCCCTACCTAGGAACTAGCGCGCCTGTGGGAGAAATCCCAATGGCCAAAAAGAGGAAGGGCAAAAGGGAGGGGTGGGGAGGAGGAGGAGGAAAGGAAAAAGGGGAGGATGGGACAGGGGAGGGGAGATTGGGGGGTAATTAGGTTCGGTCTGAGGAAGAAGACCGACAGGTCTAATTCCTCAGACCAAGAGCCTCTTCACCACGCCAAGGAGCCCCCCTTGAAGAGGATAATTGGGATAGAATTTCGGCCAAAAAGCAGGCGAAAACGGAATTGGCCAATATCCGGAACGGCCGATAACCGAGGGTCCACTGTACACGAAATACTAACACAGCCTCACTTTTTGTTACATAATAGAAACTTGGTATTTTCAGTGGTACAATAATGGAATGGGATGCAAGAGATAGAAAGTTCTATCTATTACCACTGTATTATTTATTAAGGGAAGCACTAAACCCTCAAAATAAATAGGGAAGACAGGGCTTCATGAGCTTAGCTTTGCTTCTGTAGCTATAAAGATTATTTGGGTATTCCTGATTGTTTACTACTTGATGTTTGATCTGATTGGCTTTATTTTCAGTGCTGGTGTACTGTAACTTGGAAACCAAATAGTTGCGAACACCTTTTCCATGTTGTAACTTGATTGGCTTAAAACTCTCAATACTGGTATATCATCCTTAGAATATCTGGATTCTTTATTGGAATATATAGATGCTAGTTTCATTTTTAAAATGGTGGAGTATTTGTCATTTTATTAATATGATAAACCTGTGATTGAAAGATGTTGAATCTGGTACAAAGTGGAAGTTTATCTCAGTTGCTTTTTGCTAATGACAGTTCTTGTAGGGGATTCTAAAGGCAAATTACAAAGGTTGGTGGATAAATTTGGGAGAGTATGTAAAAGAGAGAATTAAAGGTGAACATAGAACAGTGGGTGATATCTGTGGAAAGAAAAGTTTTATCAATAGAGGCCAAAAAAAAAAAAAGCTATGTACCAGAGTATAGTGGTACTGTACTATTACTTATATGGGTGTGAGGCATAAGTTTTCAATGCTTCTGCAAAAAGGAGACTAGAGGGTGCAGAGATATCATGGAGAGCAATATGTGGTGTGAATATCATGCAGGAAATTTAGAGCACAGAAATTATTTGGCAATGTGGGGTGACCAAGGGTATAATTCAGAGAGCTGAGAAGGGGTTGATGGGGTGGTTTGGGCATGTAGAAAAGATGGACAGAGGTAGGTTAACAAAGACTAAAATTTTGGGGTGGAAAGTAGAAGGGAAAGTGGTTCCAGGAATGGATTATAAGAGGCTTTGAGTATTAGGGGCTTCAGAATTCAGATGGCTTGTTGGAGGGTGAGCAGGGTAACTTTTATGAAGTGATTCAAGGAACCAGTTAGCTGATCTTGAGTACTGGAGGTGGGAAGGGCAGTACCTGCACTCTCAAGGTAGGGGGGAAGGAAAGAGAGATGATGCAGTCATAGAGGTAATCTGCCTGTGATGTTTCTCTCTAAGGTAAGTTCCCTGATGCCAGTGAGGGGCTCTTGATCCAAGGAATTGGACCTACCCATCCTTTTCTTAGATTGAACCTGAATGCTTCCCATTTCCCCAGGTGCTGTATGACCCCACCATGACTAATAATCATATGTTAACATATTTTACTAAAGCATAAGTGTTAAGTGATCTATAAAGAATAGTATTTAGATAAAGGCATGTTTTTTCTTAAAATTTCATCACATTATTACAGGACCTGTAGGGGTCATACAGCACCAGGAGAATACAAGGCAAACAGGTTTGATTCAAGGAAGAGAAAGTCGGGTCTGTTTTTTTTTGGATCAAGAGCCTCTTCACTGTATACAGGAGCCTATTTTGAAGGGTTATCTTTGCATAAAGGTTCTTTTTAATGGTTGTTATAGTGAGAAATCAAAGTGGGTTAAATTTAAATGTGCATTAAACTGTAGAAGACTGTCTTTTTAGCAGAATAAAATTTATATGATGATTGTATTTTTCTGACGTTTTTAATGTTTAAATCGACTGCAATATTTCCATTAAAAAATTTCACCAGTTCAGTTTTTTTTATCATTGTATTTCTTTTTCTTACAGAGAGCTCACATACCAGTTAACTTGTTGGAAGTGATTGAAGGTCACAAATCCTCTGAGGAATCTCAGTCCATCCCAATTGAGCCTTCACCTAACTCACAAGAGGTAGCTGCCTTTTCAGAGGAGCATTGAAAGTAATTTTGTAACAAGAAATTAAATTGTAGTACTCATCAATTATACATCCTCATCATAACATGACACATGGGAGCTAAGAGAGATCATGGAATTTCTTTTAAAATAAGATATGTGCAGTGTTAGGATATTTTATTGAAGCATTTAACCATGAATTACTCGTTCAGTTCCACAGAGACAACCACAGACAAAATATAGTGAACAAGAGGGTACGGCATGAAAAAAAATGGGGTAGGCCCAGTACAGACTGCTAGGGTGGGAGAGGTGAGGAACTTACCAGGCATAGGCTAGTAGGTCCATTGCAGTATTCAAAATTCTTGTCAGGTGATTACTGTCTTGATGCTGCAGGATTAATTCCCCTTGATGCTGGTGAAAGGCTCTCGATCTAGGGAATTGGATCTGTGCTCCGGTTCCCTGAATTGAACCCGAATACCTTCCATATCCCCCCACATGCGGTGTATAATCCTACGAGTTTAGCGCTCCCCCATTTTAATAATAATGAAGGATTAATTTAACTACAATCTCTATAATTATAAAGCTGCTATAATTCTGGGAAATAGTGATGGTGGTAGCAATCAATTTACTTAACAGACATTGCTACCACCATTATTTCAGAGAACTCAAGGAGCTTTAGTATTATCATGGGAGAGAACTAATTATTATTATAATCAAAAAGAAGCGCTAAGCTACAAGGGCTATACAGCAGGGAGAGAACTAAACCTGTAGGGATTATCCTGCACATGTGGAGGGGAAAATGGAAGGCATTCAAGCTCAATTCAGGGAACTGGAGCACATATCCAATTCCCTAGATCAAGAGCCCCTCGCCAGCCTCAAGGATCCTCCCTTGAGGGGTCAAGCCGTATTATGACCAGATTACTTTTTCATCACTAAGATGCAGCAGTCACCTGAAGTTGGAATTTTGGAGTATTACTGAGGGCCTACTGGCCCATGAGCAGTGGGTTCCTCATCTTGGCTACCCTTGCATGTCTGTACTAGCCCCACCACTTTTTTTTTTTTTTTTTCCTATACCCTACCTATTTATGTACTCTACCTGAGCTTTTCTTTCATAGAACTGGAGCTATTTGTGGCCAAACGTTCTATCTCTTACCCATGGAATCTCGTGTACATTGAGGAACTACATTACATGGTATGAAAAAGTCCAGCAGTCACTTTTTTTAGTACAATACCCCTAATATAATAATACTAAAATTATTGCTTTATAATTATCCTAGATAAATATATTTTTGGTCTTTTATACAGTATAAATAAAACCAACTATTGTTATTGTTTCCTTCCATCTCCTTAAAAATAATGACATGGTTACTGCTAACATGTTTAGTAGCCTCACATTTAACATAATCTATTGAAACAACGACATATGAGGAATTGTGTATGGCCATCCTAACTGTTGTGTATAACACCCTTTCCTACTGCAAGTAAGGCCTTATGAAGGTCATTTAATCAGACTGGTGTCTAAAATATTACATTAGACTCAAGGGTAAAGCATTGAACTCTCAGATGTACAATGCTTGGGAAAATAGGAAGCAATCGTATTTGATCCAAGAAAAGGAAAGGTTCTATTCCTTGAACAAGAGTACCTTACCAGCATTAAGAAACCTCCCTTGAGGAAAGGGGACACCCAGAACAAAAAACTTTTGTAAAGAGTGACCTCCCCCCTTCTTCCAGGTAGGTGCTTTAATGCTGGAGAGGGGCTCTTGATCCAAGGAATTAAACCTTACTTTCCAAGGATTGAACATGATTGCTTCTTATTTTCTCAGGCAGTATGTATTCCCCCCCCCCCATTAGGGTTAAGTGCCTCCTCTTCATCCCGTGGGAATTTAACGAATATTCTAGTCTGATCAAATGACCGTCTTAAAGAGCATTACCTCCAATAATAAATTTTGTGTAGGACAATTAGGATGGGCATACAGAGCCATACACAATGCCTCATATATCATCTTGGTATATAAATAATTTAACATTACATTCACAGAGGCACAATAAACCTGTAGGGGGCCAAAAATAACTATCAAATATCACACAAAAGTTAAGTATTAATGTACTTATTCATACTATTATCATAGGAAAATGCTAAACCCATAGGGGTTACAAATTATTACATTAAATCACTGAGCAGGTGAGAAATGTACCCATGGCAAGTCCTGAAACTCTCAGGCCAGTGCATTAACCACTATTCCAGCTGGCTCTAATAAGATTCATCCAACAAGGTATAGTTGTATACACAACAGGGAGGTTAGCATGGGTTGCACTGTGACCACAAATGCAAGTTTTAGGACTTGCTTGCCTTGGGTTCAAGCTTCGCCCATTCGGTGATTTGTTTGCAACTGTGGTGTTACGATGGTCATACAGCACCTCTGGAACTGGGAGGTAGTTTGATCCAAGGAAAGAGGTCAGATCTAATTCCTTAGATCAAGAGCTCAGCAGTATCAAAGCTAGGGGTGTACTAAAGTATCAATATCAGTATTGGTCAATTTTTTATGGTACATATCTGCGTATCTGCCTAAAATTGAGTACTGGTGGCTATCTGCTAATTTTGGCAGTATCAGTATCTGCCTAAAATTATCGGTAAAATTTTTAACATCTCACCCCTAATCAAAGCACATTCTCCAAGGGGTAAAATATATTATTTAACACATTAAACAGTTTAGTGAAATTCTTAGTTTTTGAACAAAACAATCACTGACTTTGTTGTAAAATTCTTTTTCAATCGTCACATGAGCAAATAAAGAATTTTCTATTCATCAAAACCAGTTCCATCCAGCCTTCATAAATGAATCCTGGTTACACACTCACACACAATTTCATCATTTTAGAAGCTTCAGTATGCAATGACAAGCCAGACTTGCCTAGTGGAAGCGGCATCACCCTCTTAACACAGAACAGACTCACACGCAAATCCATAATATTTGACCAATATTCAAATGGGGATGGGACAATATCAATTTTTTTTTTTTTTTTGCCAATACTGATATTGATGCTCAGTTTTTGGCTGATACTATCAAAATTAGCCAATACACAGATAATACTTTACCACACCTCTATTTGAAACATTAACAAGATTAATTTACCCCTCAAAGGTACACATCTCTTGTAGCAATACCCAACAGAATCTTTAAAGATCTTTAGTAGGAATACAAGACCAGAAGGAATGAGTATAGCTGAACTAGATTATTTACAAACACCAATAATTATTATAGGCGATTCTAATGCAAACCAATATAAAGCAAAGACAGGGCAATACCTTACCTTACCTTTCAAGAGTTTCACTACTCTCGGAGCCCGGCCATGGGCCGGGCTCGTCTGGTGCTTGCCTGGTCAACCAGGTTGTTGCTGCTGGAGGCCTGCTGCCCCACATATCCATCACAGCCTGGTTGATCTGGCACCTGGTGACAATACTTGTCCAGTTTCCTCTTGAAGGCTTCTACACTTGTTCCAGCTGTATTTCTGATATCTTCTAGTAAGATGTTGAACATTCTGGGACCCTGGATGTTGATACAGTGTTCCCTTACTGCCCCTTCCGCACCCCTGCTCCTCACTGGGTTTATTTTACACTTCCTCCCCTATCTCTCACTCCAGTATATTGTCATGGCAGTGTGCAGATTTAGGACCAGGCTCTTGAGTACTTTCCAAGTATATACAGTGGTCCCCTTTTTTTTTTTGTAGTTAATCCGTTCCTGGAGTTGCTACTATTATCGAAATCTACGATTTTCGAATCAATTTTCCCCATAAGAAATAATGTAAATACAATTAATCCGTTCCTGACACCCAGAAGTATTAAAACAAAAAAAGTTTTTACATGAAATATAGATGTAGTACACAAACAATACAATGGGAAATGATCCCAAACCATACCCCCGGCCGGGATTGAACCCGCGGTCATAGTCTCAAAACTCCAGCCCGTCGCGTTTTGAGACTATGACCGCAGGTTCAATCCCGGCCGGGGGTATGGTTTGTTTGCAATCATGTCATTACGATTTCTTGAGTCATGGGAAATGATGAATGAAACATTAACAGCATAACACTCACCTTTATTGGAGATTCTTCTTAGTGTATGGGAGACTGGAGGAGGAGAGAGATTGGATTGTTTACAGTTTGGAAGGGGAATCCCCTTCCATCAACACCTCAGGTACCAATTGCTTTTCTGGGGTTGCTTCTCTTCTCTGTTTGTTAATGCCACTAGGACCACCTTGAGTCACTGGAGTCCTGTCTCGCAAAATAACTGTGGAGAGAGCTCTGTTTCTGGCGTCTCTTTAACACTTCCCTAAAAATGGCCCAAGACTTTGTAACTGTACATGTTGCCAACATGGCTTGCAACAACCTTGTCAGAGTGATGTTTCTCCATAAAGCTTTCCATCTTACCCCACATAGCAAAAATCTCTCTAATTTCTGAAGAAGGCACCTTCTTCCATCTCTCTTCCTCCTTCTCTGCAGCAAGATTCTGAGCTGCGATCTGTTGCTGTTCCTGCTGATGTTTTTCTTAAATTCAATTGTATATCTCACCTTCTTTACCACAGGCTTGGCACTAGGAGCTTTCTTTGGAACCATGGTAGCTTATTTAGTACTTGCAAGCACTAAAATGAGTGGAATATTATGAAATATTTCATAGGAGCACGTGAGGGGACCTTCGCTCACTGGTAAACAATGCCAGACTGGCTGGGTAGGGAGGCCGCCCCGGCTCACACCGTGCGTACGCGTCCCGGACGTACTACTATTCGCGAGTCAACCTATGATTAGCAAGCCCATGTTTATACGAAAATATCCCTATGATTTCCGAAATCTATGATTCCCGAGAACTACGAAAAACGAGGGACCACTGTATTATCACGTATCTCTCCTCAGCTCCAATGAGTACGTGTTCAAGACTTGAAGGTGTTCCTAGTAATTTAGGTGCTTTACTGGCTCAGTGTGAGCCGTAAATGATCTCTGTCTTTGTTCCAGCTCTGATATTTCTCCTGCTTTGAATGGAGCTGTCAGTATGTCTAAAATTACCTAGCTACCTTGCCATATACCTCTATACCTTCCTAAATATTTTAACTACAAAACTCATACTCTGCTCAATTTAAACATTAAATCAAATCTCATACTATACTTGACACTGGTAGTGATCACAAACCACTTAGGAAATTCCCCAATTTTGAGACACTACCTTACCCATTTTCACTTCCAAAATGGAATGCTAGAAAAGCTTCATCAAAGCCCAGACTGCAGATACTTTTAAGATTCATGATTCACATAGTATAGATAACACAAACCTTTAGATAAGATTATGTGAACTTACTGCTCTAAACCATGCTATTGCATCATTTATAAATAATAATACAGTGGTACCTCGAGTTTCGAACAGCTCCCAAGTGTATTTTTGTAAGAGCTTTTGTAATCGTATTTTTGGGGGTCTGAAACGGACTAATCCAATTTACATTATTCCTTATGGGAACAAATTCGTTTGGTAACGGCACTCAAACAGCCTTCTGGAATGAATTAAGTTTGTAACTCAAGGTACCACTGTAATTTAAAAGTACACTACCTGACTGCACAGGCATTTACATGAAGATGGAGAGCTATACAAAAATAAAGTCCAGCTCCTTGGATTAAGAGCCCCTTCCTGGCAGCAACAACAGCTTCAGAGGTATCAATAAATTCAAAAGAATGAATCATAGACAATTCTGTATAAATTTTATGCCCACCACTCAAGACTACAATACTACATGCAACATTTAACAGCATAACAGAATGCCCAACACTATTATCCTTCTCAATTACAATCAATGGGGTACTCTGTCAAACCCCACAGAAGCAGGCAGATGCCTTAGCAGACCATCAAGATTGTTAACCACTCTCACACTATACATGCTTATAGTCCATGATAAGTATGGATACCATATTCACCTCCAGAGCACCAATATGCACTTGCACAATCATCCAGCTATGAAGATGGCATTTCACATGAATTCATAAACCTCACTTCATCCCAACACCCAATCCTTCTCAACGTATTTAACCAATGCTAGACAACAAAAACACCCCAGTACAATGGAAATCTAGTATTATTCACTTCCTCAAGTCAAGACCTATCAGAACCTGCATCACACAAACCTGTTTCACTACTATTTTGCCCATATAAGGTCATGGAAAAATTGTCAACACTTGTATTCTAATCTTACACCTTCATTACAAGCAGGTTTTGAACCCAAATGTTTAACCTTTGACCATGAAACCCACTCATCAATTAAAAAAACCTGCATTGTCTGCCTTTAACAGTA